AGAGACCATCTTGGGCAACATAGCAAGACCCCCATCCTGAAGAAGCAAAAATCACCTAGGCTAGAGGTAGTAAATAGCTCACAAGAAGTGTAGAAGATGGTAAGGTAGATGGACATTGATTCAAGAGCTACTTAGGAGTTAAAATTGACTCAGCTCATACCTACTTTAGAGCTGAAAGAGACTCTTATTTTACAAATAAAAAATATGAGACATGAGGACTGGAGGAATAGCTCAGTGGTAAAGTAGGTGCTTAGCAGTTTCAAAGCCCTGAGTTCAATCCCCAGCAGCCAAAGTGTGTGTGTGTGTGTGTGTGCGTGCGCGCGCACGTGTGTGCACATGCATGAAGTCATTCTCACCTAACCATCTATAAAACAAAGATGAGGTGACCGTGATAGTTGTCCTGCAACAATTCCTCACCAGTCCCTTTTCCTAGGTGAGTGGATGAAGCCCCCAATTTAAAGTCAGAAGTACACAGACTCAAATCAATCCTCAGCAAGCTTGGGAAAGGAATGTACATTCTAGACGCCTCCCTGTGTGGATAGCACCACCTGAGAATTCTATAAGCAGAAACGAATGGCAGACAGTACTGAGTTTAAGTTCTGGCTCTGCCACTTTCTAACCATGTGGCTTAGGTAAGTTTCTACTTCCTGAGCTCCATTCTCCTCATTTGTAAAACAGTGATAACAATACCTGTTGAGATAACACCTGATCTATGATGAATGGCAGTTATTATTATATCTAATCTTCCCAGTAACTTGTTGAGTGTGAGATTACTTAGCTTCATTTTATAAAGAAGAAAAATCAAAGATTAGGGAGGTCAGGCATTTGGCAAATGTCACAAGTGAATATTTGCTGTAGGAAAGCAGAGAGTTTTAGTTACTATTATATTTCCAGTGCTCATAAAAGTGCCTGGCACACAGTAGGAATTTAATAAGTATTTATGAATGAGTGAAATCAACTAACTGACATGAAAGACTACGCAATTTTCATTTTCCCTGGGAGTATGTCTGGACTAAAGGTCCCAGAGAAGGCTGAAGATGCCTGGGCAGAGCTGCAACTCAGAATTTGGTTTCTTGACTCTTAATTCATTTTTTCCCTAATTCATTGTCCTTCACTAAGCTCCCTTCAGGTTGAAAGGCTGAACTTTCTTCAGCCTAAGATTGATATATCCAACCTTATTTGTTTGGGGCTAGTACTGGGGTCTAAAGTCAGATACTAATGCTGTTGCTTAGTTTTTGCTACTGGAGGCTGATGCTCTATCACTACTTGAGCACTTCTTGAGCACCTCCACTTCCTTTTTTTCTGGTTAATTGGATATAAGAGTCTTGGGGATTTTCCTGCTCCATCTAGCTTTGCACCGGGGTCCTCAGATCTCAGCCTGTTGAATAGGTAAGATCACAGGTTTGAGCCCCTGGCATCCATCTCTCCAACCTTTGTCATTCTTCTCACCCTTTTTGTGCTTAGTTATATTCCTGGGAAAGACAAGAGAATTTGATCTGGAGTTAGCAACTTTATCATTGGGCAAGTTGTTGAATCTTTCTGGAATTTGATTCCTCATCTACAAGATGGGTAAAGTGGCCCATATTTTCCCAAAACTGATGAGAAAGTCAGTGATATGCTTATCCATGTGAGAGGTGACTGGTTACTATCACCATGCCTAGCTTTCTTTCCTGTCCAGACAGTTGTTCAGATGGGTAACTCAACTATGTTTTTGACAGTGAGGGGCTGAGGGTTTCCTTGGGCAAAAACTAGAAAGTGATGCCACTTATTATGTGCATTAACTTGGGAAAATATTCCTCATGAGAAATAGGGATAAACATTCAAAGTAAATATAAGAATTCAGAGGATTTAAAAACAGGTAATCCTGGCACTGTAGGGGCTGAGGGAGGAGGAGAGTTTGTTTCTTGTTTCAAAAATTAAAAGCAATAAAAAAATGAAAACACTAGCATGAAAGAGATTCTTCATTATTCGTGCTTCTTTGTTACTCATTTTTTGGGGGAGGGGGACTGGGCTTTGGATTCAGGGTTTTGTGCTTGTTAAGAAGGCACCCTACCATTTGATCCATATCTCAGTCCTGTGTCTTTTAAAGTATTGATTTATTGTTATTTATTATTTATTGTTATTATAAAGGTGATGTACAGAAGGGTTACAGTTACATAAGTCAGATAATGAGTACACTTGTTTTGGGACAATGTCACCCCTTCCCTAGTTCTCTTGCACTTTTTCCCTCCTGTCCCCAACCACAAGTTGTATATTTCATTTTCAACAGTGTCAAGTGATTAACACTTTTCTTGAGATGAGGTCAATTTATGTAGGTCAGCCTCCTCCCTTAGGCTTCCCAAGGTTGGGATTCCTGGAGTGCCATATCCTGTTGGAACAAAGGAGGTGTTTTTGTTTTGTTTTGTAGTACTGGTATTGAACCCAGAGCCTACCACATTCTAGTCAAGTGTTCTACCATTTGAACTATGCCTCCTGCCCTTTTGTTTTTATTTTGAGACAAGGTGTCACTGTTAACCTTTTCCAGGTCTAGCCTTGAATTTGAAATCCTCCAACTTCCTGAGTTAATGGGATTCTAGACATGAACTACCACATCCTGTTGCAAAGGGTGTGTGTGTGTGTGTGTGTGTGTGTGTGCTCGCGCACCTGCCAGTACTCTGGTTTGAACTCAGGCCCTCACATTCTTTTTTTTTTTTTGTCGGTCGTGGGGCTTGAACTCTGGGCCTGGGCGCTGTCCCTCAGCTCTTCAGCTCAAGGCGAGCGCTCTACCACTTGAGCTACAGCGCCACTTCCGGTTTTCTGGTGGTTTATTGGAGATAGGAGTCTCACAGTCTCTCCTGCCCAGGCTGGCTTTGAACCGCGATCCTCAGATCTCAGCCTCCTGAGTAGCTAGGATTACAGGCGTGAGCCACCAGCGCCCGGCTTGGGCCTCACATTCTTGCTTAGCTTTTTCCCTCACAGGCTGCTGCTCTACCCCTTGAGCCACAGCTCCACTTTGGGCTTTTTGGTGGTTAGTTGGAAATAAGAGTCACACGGACTTTCCTGCCTGGGCTGGCTTTGAAACAGGATCCTCAGATCTCAGCCTCCTGAATAGCTAGGATTATTGGTGTAAGCCACAGGCACCTAGCTACAAGGGAGATTCCTGAGTTTTCACATATTGGTTGCTCACTCTTAGAAACAAAAATAACAGCTACCAGATAATTGAGAGCCAGCTACTGGATACCTATTCTGTAAGTTGGGTATTATTCTCATTTCCATTTTAGAAGTTAGGATTTGTTCAAAATCACATAACTAGAAAATAACAGAGCTGGTAAGAGAGCAAGGCCAGCTGGTCTGACTCCAGGGTATGTGAGTTTCTACCTGTGTGCCACTCTCCCTCAGGATGTCCTAACGTCCATCCTGAAATTGAATCTACCTAATTATACTTAGGAACAGTGATTAAAATGTAACAAAGTAAAGTTCACTAGATGCAAGTACAACCGCCCTCCCCAAACACATTCAAACTTTTGATTACGCTTTTTTTGTTGTTGTTGGTTGTGGGGTTTGAACTCTGGGCTTGGGCTCTATCTTTCAGCTCTTCAGCTCAAGGCAAGTGCTCTACTGCTTGAGCCACAGCGCTACTTCCGGTCTCCTAGTGGTTTATTAGAGATAAGAGTCTCATGGACTTTCCTGCCCAGGCTGGCTTTGAACCATGATCCTCAGATCTTAGCCTCTTGAGTAGCTAGGATTAACAGGCGAGAGCCACTGGCACCTGGCTTTGATTAGGCTTTTTTTTTGGGGGGGGGGGTGGCTTAATGGAGATAAGCATCTAATGGACTTTCCTGCTGGGCTGGCTTTGAACTATGATCAGATTTCAGCTACCTGAGTGGCTAGGATTATAGGCATAAGCCACCAGTGCCCATTGGCAATATATATTTATGCATATGCATATTTATGCATATTATTTTTAAACAATATTGTCTGCTCTAAAAATACATTTCCATTTGCCTTATTTCAACTGCAAACCATGTGAGGTGCTAAGGATGTACAGGGTCACACGATGTCTGTCTAAGTAATTCATAGCCTGGTGGGAGAACACAAAATAAGCACAAAATGAGCATGTGCACAAGTACTAAAATATGTAAACAATGAGTGTTCAAACTATATGCAATAGGCTCACATCTGATAAATATGGATGGCCTTCAAATTCCATAGATGCCTGATGTATGAACAAAGTACTGTTTTTGTTTTTATTTTCTAATTCTGGGGATAAACCCAGGACCTTAGGAAATGCTAGGCAATCAATCTACCACTGGGGTAGGGGAATATATATGCATATATGCATACACACACGTATATGTTTGTGCTTACGCAAACATAATTTTCAAGCTGTTTTGTAGCAGTACAAACCACAAATGTGTGCACAGTGTATACAGAACGACTGAAAATGTTCATTAAAATGCTGACAGCAATGATTCTTTGGGGGCATGAATAGAAACTCCATAGCTGAGAGGGCTCTCTCTCTCTCCCCCCCCTCTCTCTCTCCCTCTCTCTCTCTCTCTCTCTCTCTCTCTGAAACACTGGAGGAAATAAATACTTCCCCCTACTCAGGAGTCCTCAAATCCATACTCCCATGGGAGTGAGCAACTTCCGGTCTTCCCTTTTTCAAAGCCGGAGATGTCAGCCCATAGCGCTGGGAACCTAGTATGTTTTTTCCCACACTCGATCAACCAGAAGAGGGCCCATGAAATCAGCAACTACAAGTCGTCTTCCTGTTCCATACTGTAAAGACCAAGGAAAAAGGGACCGAGAACATTGGGGCGGGGCTGGCGACTAGGTTGAGGTCTGGCAGGCTCTTAAGTGTTTGTTTGCGTGTGTGCCAATCTGGGCCCACCACCCACAGACGCTAGCTCCTCTTCCGGTCTGTCTGTAGAATGCGCATGCGCACCACTGGCCTTTAAACGTGCACCGCCGGTCCATCCGGAAAGAGGATCCGGCAAACACATTACAGTGTTGCTCCTCCGCCGCTGAGGTGAACTATTTTCTCAGTAGTGAGTAGTTTTAAGTAATACCTTCCAAATAGGAAACTCGTAGCAGCTGATTTATCTCAGTACCCACAGGATGAAGGCTTATTTGGGCTTAGCCTGACGCAAGGTTCGCGAGGCTCAGAAGAACACTCCGCGGAGGGATCCGATTTGTTGTGGTGAGGGAGGGGGGGGTGAGACGCTGACAAACCAAGATGGCGGCTGTGAAGTCCGCGGTTGTTGGGACTTAGCTGTAGTGGTGAAGCTTGCGGTAGTGGGTGGCGGTGGCAGAGTTTGGGAGGAACAGAGTAGGACAAAGAGGTGGTAACATTAGTATCAGCCTGAGACATTCAGATCGCGGCAGCCACACGCCCCCTTAGGCCCTCGGCGGGCGGCGGCTGACCCGCTTAGGGCCTAGTCTCTGAGAAGTGCCTCGGTTTCAAAAAGCGGCGGCGCCATGAGGCCTTAGGGGTGATCTGACTCCTGCTGATTCCCTGGCCCAATCCTCGGGCCCACCATGGAGCCGGGGTCCGACGATTTCCTACCGCCACCGGAGTGCCCGGTGTTCGAGCCTAGCTGGGCCGAGTTCCGAGACCCTCTGGGCTACATTGCGAAAATCAGGCCGATCGCCGAGAAGTCGGGCATTTGCAAGATCCGCCCACCTGCGGTAAGGCCCCGGGGCTGGCCGTCGCTGGGGGGAGAGGCACGGGATGGAGGACTAGAGTAACTGGCTGTGAAGTCTGGGGCAGAGGGCAGCTCCAGGTGTGGGAAGGTGGGGTAGCTGGAACCATTGTGGATGCTGCGTGGGTCTTAGAAAAGGTGCTGGAGCCAGGGGTTCTCATGGTGTCAGGCTCACAAGTGACTCGGGGCCTGAGACCCACCCTCATCCTTGTTCTTCAGAATCACTCCCTGGGTCTCAAAGCAAGATGCCTAGTGAGCCAGGAGAAGATCATAGAGAGGCTCCCGAACATCTCTAGTTACTTCGCACCACCCAGGTCAGGGCTGCACTAAATAAAGACTTTCTGATATTCTACTGTCAACACTTCCCTTAAGGCAGGCTGTGTGTAGTGTAGTGGAAAGATCACAACGGTGTAGGGAGGCTGAACTGAGTTCTAAACTCCACTTTGAAGCTTAGCAGCTGTGTGACCTTGGACACTAACAGTCTCTCTAAGCCTGTGAAATGGGTCCCAGGGATAGTTATTTTTCTAGGATTGGATTCAACTTGGTAGCATCTGTGCATAGTATGCACTTGCTAAGTGCTAATTACAGAGCCTGGGAAGGTGTTTGATGTGATCATCGGTTTGCTCCTACGTTGGTTGACTCATATTTACTCACACCTTGTCAGGCCAATTCGTCTATGATAATGTTCTGGTTTGGTGGGTCAGTCAGGAAATCAGTCTCACTGGGAATGCTGTATCTACCTCCCCCAAGCAGGATTCGGGGCATTGTCCCATTTTCCTAGTTGCTGGCCTTCCTGCACATCACACAACCCTCCACCCACCCAGGCTTCACTTTCTATGGAGAGGTTTGAAACTGCTTGCTAATGGTATTGTGAGTCCCTTCAGAAGGTTTTTACTCTGTTCTGGACCTGAATGTAGGTGGTCCTAGAGAATAGACCCTTCTTGGACCCCCAGAAAATGAAGCTACAGAATTCTGCCCCTTTTAGCTCACAGATAACAGCCAGCAACAAAGGGCAAATCTTTCATTCTAGGCCTGGCTAGGCCAGAAGAAGTAGTCCTCCAAAGGCCAGGACAGTCTGTTGCCTTGCTGACATAGGGGAGAAATGATGATACCTGTTGTTTAGTGACCACTTGGGACTCCAGGCTGGAGTAATCTTTTTGAGTGTGTGTTTTAGAATAATGAGCCTCATTCCCACCTGAGGAGGGCAATACAAATCTCTTTATCCAAGTTGGCACTTTTGTTGCTCAGCCACAGATCTGGACTGGTTTCAGATAGATCCTCTGGGAGGTTTTGGATAAACTATTTTTTTTCTTTTTTTGGAGCTTGGCCACAGGTCTCTGATGTAGCCTTATCCGTGGTGAAGAAGTAGCAATGAGAGAGGTCAGGAAGACCATGAAAAGGGAGCGGCTGGAGTCTTGGGTGGCCTTTAAGGAGGTACTCCTTGAAGTGGTCAAGCAGGCTTATAGGAAAGAAACCTATTTGACATCAGGGGTAGTTGAGGTAAAAATATCTCTTTTTTTCACCCTTGGACTTAATCTGGGCAGACAAGCCTTGTGCAGGTGCTGGTTTCCTTCCCTGTGTGACCAGGAAGGGGAAGAGAGACAAGTTCCTTGTGTCATGTTTATGTCCAGCAAGGGACTGAGACAGTCCTTTAGTAGTCTTCTTTTCTACCCCAACAGTGGGCCTCCCTCTAGTCTCAGAAACCTTATTTTGGGCATTTTTGTTGTTCTTATTTTGTTTGCTTTTCATTTTCTAGGGGTTGCCTCTGGGTTAGACGTCTGGTGATCTTCTGGTTGGAACTTAAAATACCCAAGTGATGCTTGGGCCTAGGGTAGAAACCCATGTATGGGTTTCTATGTATGACCAGGAATTGGAGTTTTTTCTGAGGAAAAATGGTTTGGAGTGTGTATTGCTGGGTAAGGGACTGCTAGACATCGATTGGTGGGTGGGAGGACAATTGTTTGTTCCCTGGAATAGACCCAGGGGAACCTGGGAAGATTGTGCTTCTATATCAGGTTGCTAGCCTCATCGTCACAACATCCTAATGCTGTCCAACTGAACATTAGCACATAGTATAGGACTGAGACAGGAAGTTTGCTGGACCTTCCCCAGCTATCTGTTGCACCCATAACTCCTGCTCTAGGATTACACTTCTGCAATTTCCTGTCAGGTGCTTAATGTTGTACTGATATTTGTCTAAACTTGATTCAGGAAAGAAGGGTGCTAGAAGTTTTGAGTTCGAAAACCTTTCCACCTGAGTTATCTGTACTAAGGTGGGGAGGGGGGTACTCTTCGCTGATGTGAGGCAAGAAAATATAGGGAGTTTGGGCTTGAGCCATAACATTTTAAGGATTATTTATTTATTTATTTCTAGTCCTGGGCTTGAACTCAGGCCCTGGGCACGGTCCCTGGGCTTCTTTTTTTTTTCTTGTCGGTTGTGGGGCTTGAACTCTGGGCTTGGGCGCAGTCCCTGCACTCTTTAGCTCAAGGTGAGCGCTCTACTGCTCGAACCACAGTGCCACTTTTGGTTTTCTAGTAGTTTATTAGAGATAAGAATCTCACCGACTTTCCTGCCCGGGCTGGCTTTGAACAGTGATCCTCAGATCTCAGCCTCCTCAGTAGCTAGGGATACAGGTGTGAGCCACCGGCACCCGGCTTTGGGCTTCTTTTTTTTAATTGTTGTTGTTGGTCGTAGGGCTTGAACTCTGGGCCTGAGCGCTGTCCCTCAGCTCTTCAGCTCAAGGCTAGAGCTATACCACTTGAGCTACAGCGCCACTTCCGGTTTTCTGGTGGTTTATTGCTGGCTTTGAACCGCGATCCTCAGATCTCAGCCTCCTGAGTAGGTAGGATTACAGTTGTGAGCCACCAGTGCCCGGCTCCCTGGGTTCTTTTTACTCAAGGATACCACTGTACCACTTGAGCCACAGCACCACTTCCAGCTTTTTTTTTTATTTATGTGGTACTGAGGAATTGAACCCAGGGTAGCTTCATTCAGTACAAAGAGCTTTGGACAATGGTCAGAAGACATGAGATCTAGTGTTGTTGACTGTACCCCTAGTTCAGCATGTGATTTTAGAGAAATCCCATTTCACCAGGTCTCGCTTTCTCCATTTGTAAAATAAGGGCGCTGATCTAGGTTATTGTAAGATCTTTTTGCCATTCCAGTTGGAGCCAAGGTTCTGGGGAGAAGTGCTAGGGAAGTGGTAGTAGTGGAGCCTGGGAAGGAGATGCTTCACAGCCATATTTAGGAGAAGGCAGAAATGTTGCATCTTGGCAGATTAGTCTCCTTCACTTTCATCATCTTTCCCTGATTTCCCCCTCCCTAGATCCTTCTATTTGCCATCACAGTGGGGCATCCTAGCTCTTACCCATCACCAGGCTTCTTCCTTTGCCTCTTCTTTCACTAGGCAAGTATATGAGAGGATTCACAGGAAGCTTTCCAGACCTGCTGAGTGATGTAGATTCTCACTCTCTCCTGCAGTGTTTATGTCAGCCCCTTTAACTGCTAGAATAGACATTGAAGGTACAAACCTTTAAATCCTGTCAGGACCAGAGCCGAGCAACTCTGTGACTGTAATTGGGTGGCAGGGATCAACCTTAGGTGTCAAGACTTAATGATGGCTCCTTTGAGTAACATTTTCATTTGAAAACTAGCTTAATTTTCCCTATTCCTCTTGTGAGGAAGCCAGGGCAAGAGTTCATGTGCCTGCCTGTCTTATCAGATGAGAAAACAGATTCAGAAATGTAAGTTCTTACAGCTAGTAAGTAGTAGACCTACAACATGAAGGCACATTTTCTGATTCCAGATCCTATGTGTTTTCAGTACTCCAGATTGTGTCCTGCCTAGGGGATCAGGGGTTACTGTGGATATGTAGAGGGCTTGGGATCAACAGGTTCCATTTCTCTGTTTCTTAAACTCCTGGCACTACTGTTGGGAGCAACTTAAGGAAACATAATTTAGTAATGTATGTGCATGAGGACTTAGATATAGACAAGGGACTTATAGGCCCTGTTATGAGTTCTGGGGATTGATGGAAGTGGCTAGTAGCCTGAAATGGTATGAATGGGTCCTGGGGTACTCTTGGTGCTCTCTTATTTTACACTATATTGGGATAACCCACATTCCTTTCCCCTTCCTGTTCTCTTAGGATTGGCAGCCACCTTTTGCTGTGGAAGTGGACAACTTCAGGTTTACTCCCCGAATCCAGAGGCTAAATGAACTAGAGGTGAGAAGACCAGCAGCTGGTGGTGGGGTTGGGAGAATGGATACCTGAGGTCTGATCCCACTTCATACCTTCTCTGGCTAAGGTACTTTATCTTTAGTGTGCCCAGGTCCTGGAGGAAGCTAGCATTCCAAATAAAACTAAAGACGGGGATATTTATCTAATTTCACAGTCCAAAGGGGGACATGCGGTATGTGTCCTTTCTTACATAAGTTTACTACTGGCCAGGTTCTGGTGGCTCACGCTTATAATCCTAGCTACTCTCGAGGCTGAGATCTGAGAATCGCAGTTCAAAGCCAGCCCAGGCAGGAAAGTCCATGAGATTCTTATCTCCAATAAACCACCAGAAAACCGGAAGTGGCGCTGTAGCTCAAGTGGTAGAACGCTTGCCTTGAGCTGAAGAGCTGAGTGTCAGTGCCCAGGCCCAGAGTTCAAGCCCCATGACTGATCAAAAAAAAAAAAAAGTTTGTTACTTCTAACTTTCCCCTGTCAATACCTGTTCTGCCTCGGTCAACAAAAGAGAAATAGGGGCTGATTGAAATCATTCTTTTCTTCCCTTTCCAACCCTGCCCCCCTTCTCCCTCACCTCCCTTTCTCCCTCTTTTGACTGACTGTGGCCTTATAATATCTAATTTATTCATAGCCATGTGCTTCCTAACTTCCTTTCATGGTGCTTGGTAAGTTGGGGGATGAAAAAGGGTAAAGACCCAGGAAAACCCAGGGACTGGTCAGTGTAGAGGCTGGAGTAGGGACTTACCGAGGAGATTCTTTCTTCTTTTGTTCTGTGCAGAAAGTTCGAGCTGTAGTGTATGGACAATTAGGATTTTTCACTAGGGGCTTGAGAATGCTCTGGGGTAATGAGAGTATGTGCCTTGAAGCTAGGTAAGGCTTTGGAATTTTCTATGGAAGATAGGGTTAGACCAATGCATCACTGCACCCTCATTTATGTATCCATAAACTTTACTAGGTGTTCTAGTGGAGATTGGACAGCTAAATACCCATAACCTTAAAGCCTACTTGTTTTTAAGATCAGAGTTCCTTAACTTTAGCATTTTGGGCCAGTTGATTTTTTTTGTGTATTCCTAAGCAACATCCCAGCCCTACATAAAAAGTTAAAATGTATTCTTTTGGAATCCTCATTCCCCCAGAACCTGCCTAGGCCTTAGATACAATTTTGAAGTTTCCAGAGGACCTTCACTGGTGCTCTCTTTAAGTCTACCCTTCTAAGATAAGACGAATAGGCAGTTATTTTATCTTCCTTTTTGAATAAAACACAGGGGTCCCGAGAGTGGAACTGATTTGTTCAAGGCTATATAGCAAGTCAATAGCAGAGGAGAGCTAAATTTATGTGATACCCAGGTATCTTGGTGCTTGCTGTGTGACTTAATTTCTCTGAGCCTTTCTATTTCCTATCTGTATGAGAGATGAATAATACACAACCCTGTCAGGGAGATAGGGAGAGAATGTATGTAAAGTTTTGGCTTTTGTGATACCTTCTCTTGGGAGATAAGAGAGAAGTGGGGCTAAGCACTGCCTAAAACATGGGATCCAGCTCACTGGGAGAAGCTTTGGGTAGTGAACATAGATTGCTGCTTTGTTCCCTTTTCTCTTAAGATTGGGTCAGAAGATGGGTCGGGGGTGAGGGTAGCCAGCCTTTTTGAGATATTTATTCTTCAGGCCCAGACAAGAGTAAAACTGAACTACTTGGACCAGATTGCCAAATTCTGGGAAATCCAGGGCTCTTCCTTGAAGATTCCCAATGTGGAACGGCGAATCTTGGACCTCTACAGCCTCAGCAAAGTAAGAACAGGTTTTCCTCCAGTAATGCCTATCCCTACCTTAGTAGCCTTGCTATTCTGGGGGGGGGGGGTCCCCTTGGTGCAGATATTGGGTTTCTAGGCTGCAATGGAAGAGGCATAAACCTGGTAGCACCCAAGTTGTCATCTGAATGACTTGACATATCTTGTTGCATTTCAAGGCTTGGAAAAGGAGGTAGCAGTCCATTGAAGTGAGGGGCTACAGTTGTCTTCTTTGCCCTTTTTACAGGCCTGCTCCCTCATGTGCATATAAACAATATATCTAATTGTTTATACATTGTTGCTTGTTCTTTTAGATTGTGGTGGAGGAAGGTGGTTATGAAGCCATCTGCAAGGACCGGCGGTGGGCTCGGGTGGCCCAGCGCCTCAACTACCCACCAGGCAAAAACATTGGTTCCCTATTACGCTCTCATTATGAACGCATCGTTTATCCCTATGAAATGTATCAGTCTGGAGCCAATCTTGTGGTAAGAATGCCAGGCTGGGGTAGAGTAAGGCTTTAGCTCCAGCCCCAGCTTGCCACACTTGATCTTCCCTTCCCAATTCTGAGGTTTGAATTCATAGGCTCATGCTTGCTAGGCAAGTGCTCTACCACTTGAGACACAGCCCTTTTTGCTTTTAGGTTATTTCAGATAGGGTCCTGTTCTGTTTTCCTTGGGATCAGCGTTAGACCTCCATCGTCCCACCTATGCCTCTCCCATATAGCTAGGATTACAGGCAAAACTCACTATGCCTGGATTGTTTGTGGAGATGGGATCTTGCTAACTTTTTTTTTTTTTTTTGCTTTGGTTTGCTTTGAAGTGAGGTCCTCTCATTCGCTGCATCCCAAGTAGCTGGAATTGTAAGCGTGTGCCACCAAACCTGGCTATATTTATACTTTCAATAGAACTGGTTCCAGGGATGGGGTACCTGAGAGTTAGACCTTATCCATACCTGGTGTGCTTTTGTCTCTCCCCACTGCCTGGGATTAGAGGTCTTAGAATTTTCTTTTTTTTTTTTTGGGTCCAGTCATGGGGCCTGAACTCTGGGCCTGGGCGCTGTCCCTCAGCTCTTCAGCTCAAGGCTAGCGCTCTACCACTTGAGCCACAGCGCCACTTCCGGCTTTTTTCTTTTTGCTTATATGGTGCTGAGGAATCGAACCCAGGGCGTCATGCATGCAAGGCAAGCGCTCTACCACTGAGCCACCTTCCCGGCCCAAGGTCTTAGAATTTTCTGTAGGCCTAGCCTACTATTACTTAACAAGATCTTCACTGACAGGAATCAGAGAAGGGAGAAGCCTTTGGGTCTAGCTAGGTCTGCAAAGAGGTGGAATTGGTCTTACTTTTTTTTTTTTTTTTTGCCAGTCCTGGGGCTTGAAGTCAGGGTTTGGGCACTATCCCTGAGCCTTTCTGTGCTTAAGGCGAGTGCTCTACCACCTGAGCCACAGCACTACTTCTTCCTGGCTTTTTCTGCTTATGTGTTACTGAGGAATTGAACCCAGGGCTTCATGCATGCTAGGCAAGCACTCTATCACTAAGCCACATTCCCAGCCTGAGTTGGTCTTGCTTTGGGAAATGGTTGAGTAAGTGGGAATGACATAAGCAAAGTCACAGAGAATTCTCATAGGGTGTTTGGTGCCAGTGATAAAGAATAAACTGGGTTGGGTGCCAGTGGCTCAGACCTGTAATCCTAGCTACTCAGGAGGCTGAGATCTGAGGATCATGGTTCAAAGTCAGCCCTTGCAGGAAGTCCTAGAGATTCTTTTTTGTTTTGTTTTGTTTTTGGTCCGGTCGTGGGGCCTGAACTCTGGGCCTGGACGCTGTCCTTCAGCTCTTCAGCTCAAGGCTAGTGCTCTACCACTTGAGCCACAGCACCACTTCCAGTTTTTTCTTTTTTGCTTATGTGGTGCTGAGGAATCGAACCCAGGGCCTCAGGCATGCAAGGCAAGCGCTCTACCACTGAGCCACCTTCCGAGGTCCCCCCACCCCCCGAGATTCTTATCTCCAATTAACCACCAGAAAACAGAAGTGGCGCTGTGGCTCAAGTGGTAGAGCACTGGCCTTGAGCTGAAGAGCCCAGGAACAGCACCCAAGCCCAGAGTTCAAATCCCATGACCAAAAAAACAAACAAACAAAAAAAACCTTTAGAAAGCTGAAAAAGGAAATTAAAGCAGAACTAAGGAAGTAGAAAAACTTCCTATGCTCCTGGATAGGGAGGATTAACATCATGAAAATGACAATACAGCTAAACGCTATCTACAAATTCAGTGCGATACCTATCAATATCCCAACCTCATTCTGGCTCATGCCTGTAATCCTAGCAACTAAGGAGGCTGAGATCTGAGGATCACAGTTCAAAGCCAGCCTGGGCAGGAAAGTCTGTGAAGCTATTATCTCCAGTTAACTACCAGAAAACAAGAAGTGGTGCTATAGGGGTAGAGCGCTTACCTTGAGCTGAAGAGCTCAGGGAGAGCACCCAGGCCCAGAGTTCAAGCCCCAAGCCCCTGACTGACAAAAAAAAAGAAAAAAGAATAACTAAACTGGGACCACTGATGTAGGTTGCAAGGGTGGATCACAACTTCAGTTGCCATTGGATAAAAATGAAGTCCTTGGTTTCTGGAGCTTCAGTCCCATGCTGACTCTTACTCTTCACCTTTTGCCAGCAGTGTAACACACGTCCATTTGATAATGAGGAGAAGGACAAGGAATACAAACCCCACAGCATTCCCCTTCGACAATCTGTGCAGCCTTCCAAGTTCAACAGCTATGGCCGGCGGGCCAAGAGACTGCAGCCTGATGTGAGTACTTCTAACATGGAGCTGCTTTCCCTCTTAATGACTGTAACTGTATTCTCTATTGCACTGTCTCTTCTTCATTCTTTTGAGTTCTTAAACATCAGTGTGTCTCTGGCTGGCTTCATTCTTGCTTGTTTCTACCTTCTCAGCAAATTTGGATCTTGGAACCGTTTGTATAATGTCTTTGTATGTCTGCCCTTACATGTCTGTTTCCTTTTTCCACTTAGTCTGTCTGCTCATAGAGGTGGAAATCTTCCTTTCCTTCTGTTTGAATCCTACCTTTAGGCAGAATCTTACATTGCGTGTATTTTTCTTGGCACCAGGGATACAGTAGAGAACAAGATAAACACTGTCCCTGGGCTATTGACAAATGACATTTAGCAAATCATGCACTTACTGCCTTTTTTGGAAATGTCTTTGGTTGATTTGTTTGTTTTGTGGTATAGGGGTTGGAACTCAGGGCCTCATGCTTCTACACAAGAACTCTTCCAGTTGATCCACACCAACCTCTAACCCTACCAATAGTAGAATTTGTAATATGTCTTATTGCTAATTTCTCTCATTACTGTAAGATAGGAGTTAATATTCTTATTTTAAAGTTGGGAATGTTGAGATACTATCTTTTAAAAAATTTATTGTTATTATGGAAGTGATACACAGAAGGGTGACATTTACATGTGTCAGGTAATAAGTTCATTTCCTTTTATACAGTGTCATCTGTTCCCTCATTCTCTCCCATTCCCTTCCTCCCATTTCCACCCACAAGTTGTATTGCTCACTTTCATCAGCGTTCAGTGCACTCCACTACTGCACTTTTTTACCGTTTTCCCTCAGATTCTGTGCCTTCCCCCCACCCTCCCACTGATATGCATATGGATACACTATATGTAAGGTAAAGAATACAGAATCACCAGAAAATGAAAAACCAAACTTAAAAACGTCTTGTCTCTATATCTTTGGAATTTCAGTATGTATATTATTTTATATAAATATGAAGAGGCGCTTTGGCATTGTACCTTTGTGATTGTCTCTTAAGATTATCTTCTTTTGGTCTCACTGTATGTGATTATCAAGAGTCCTGTGTAATTTGTCATATCCCAGTGTGTTTTAGATCTGGCTTCTGCATATCAGAGAGAACAAGTGCCATTTGTCTCTCTGATCTTGGCTTATCTACCTTTCCATCCGTTTCTCTGCAAATGACATTATTCTTTTTAATGTCTGTAAAATTCCATTGTATATAGGTACCAGTTGTTTGGACTGATATCCTATCTTTAATTCCTTTCCAAAAGAGAGAATTTACATATACCTAGTGTCCAAAAAGGAGCTCCAAACTCTTGTTCTGGTCTCTATGCCTGAGGCCCTGGCATGAACTTGAGTGAGCTATTCTTTTAGGATAGGATAGTTTGCCCCATATAATCGTTTCCTTTTTTGTACTGGTACCGGAGTTTGAACACAAGACTTTTCTCTCTCACTTGGCTTTTTCCACTTAAGGCTGGCACTCTACCACTTGAGCCACAAACACCTCTACTTCCAGTCCTTTGCTGGCTAATTGGAGATAACAGTCTAGGGACTTTTCTGCTTGAGCTGGCTTCCAAACTCAATCCTTAGATCTCAGCCTTCAGAGTATCTAGCATTACAGACATGAGCCACTTGTGCTTAGCAGTCATACAGTAATCTTGATTTATTTCCTCCTTTCTTCCTAGCCGGAACCCACTGAGGAAGACATTGAAAAGAATCCAGAGCTTAAGAAGCTACAGATCTATGGGGCAGGCCCCAAGATGATGGGCCTGGGCCTGATGGCCAAGGATAAGACTCTGCGTAAAAAAGGTGAGTCTTAATATACTGGGGTTGGCACAACCATAAGTGCCCCAGATCTGTTTATAGCTCCTTTTTTCTCTTTTAGATAAGGATGGGCCTGAGTGTCCCCCCACTGTAGTGGTGAAGGAGGAATCAGGTGTGGATGTGAAGGTGGAGTCAGCCTCACCCAAGAGTTTTCTGGAAAGCAAGGAGGAAGTGAGTCACAGCCCAGAGCCCTGCACCAAGATGACGATGAGGCTGCGTAGGAACCACAGCAATGCCCAGTTTGTAAGGACTGAGCCCTAACTTCTAATGTTCGTCTCATCCCTTCAATTAATATTTTTCCAACCTGACACTAGATAAGGTTACATTAACAGAAAATGGGCCTGGTGGGTCTTACTCACTGGTAGTTTACTTAATTGGGGAAACTGAGCCAACTGACTTGACTAAGTCCTGTTAATGTGGAGTGCTACAAGGGTCCAGAGGAAGGAGACTCACTATTCATTGATTCAGGATAGAACTGAGCTCCTCATCCTATAACCTCACCTCACTCCCCCTCTCCCCACCTCACATCTTTGCTATAGCCTCACTCAATATCTTGTTTTTTTTTTTTTTTTTGGCTGGTTATGGGGCCTGAACTCTGGGCCTGGGCACTGACCTTCAGCTCAAGGCTAGCACTCTACCAGATGAGCCACAGTGCCACTTTTGGCTTTTTCTGTTTATGTGGTGCTATGGATTCAAACCCAGGGCCTCATGCATCCAAGGCAAGCACTCTACCACTGAGACACCCTCCAGACCCTGAATAGCTTATAAATATGTTTTAAGTTTTGTTTTTTGTTTTTTTTTTTGGGTCCGGTCGTGGGGCCTGAACTCTGGGCCTGGGCGCTGTCCCTCAGCTCTTCAGCTCAAGGCTAGCGCTCTACCACTTGAGCCACAGTGCCACTTCCGGCTTTTTTCTTTTTGCTTATGTGGTGCTGAGGAACCGAACCCAGGGCCTCAGGCATGCAAGGCAAGCACTCTACCACTGAGCTACCTTCCCAGCCCCTGTTTTAAGTTTTTTGTCCCCAAGATGCCTCATGCTCTTTCATTTCTTTATCCTTTATACATGTTGGTTTTTTCTGACTGAAAGAGTTGCCTTCATGCTCTGTATCATTGCCATTCTTGACTTTGCTTTCAGGTTTTAACCAGTTTCAGGTGTTAAGTCTGTTCCTCCTCATCTCCAGGTGGCATGAATACTTCCTTCTCTAGGCTCCCATAGTACTACTACTCATGGGCCCTTACTGAGAGATTTTAATTTTTGAGAATATGCACCTCTAGAGTACTGGATGCCCTTGGAATGCAGATGCCATGTCTTCTTCATTTTTGTGCAGTAGAAGTTCAGCGTAGTTTGTGAACACTGGTTCAGTAAGTGTTTATTGAATTAATATAGGAAGATTAATGTCAATGATAGTGAATGTTGTTACAGCTTTGCCCACTTATTTGGTGGGCCTCTCAAGACTAGCTTGTACAGGGCCATGAATGATCTAGTTGGCAAGCACAGCAGATTTCCAATGGAGAATTGTGGACAAGGGCACTGTCTGGAGTGGCTTTGTCTTTGAAGTCTGGACAGGGCCTATGTTGATAAACTTTTGCCTCCTTTCTTTTTTTTTTTTTGGGGGTCCGGTTGTGGGGCCTGAACTCTAGGCCTGGGTGCTGTCCCTCAGCTCTTCAGCTCAAGGCTAGAGCTCTACCACTTGAGCCATAGCACCACTTCGGCTTTTTTCTTTTTGCTTATGTGGTGCTGAGGAATCGAACCCAGGGCCTCATGAATGCACGGCAAGTGCTCTACCACTGAGCCACCTTCCCAACCCACTTTTGCCTCCTTTCTTTGGCAGATTGAGTCGTATGTGTGCCGGATGTGTTCGCGAGGGGATGAGGATGATAAGCTCCTGCTCTGTGATGGCTGTGATGATAATTACCACATTTTTTGCCTGCTCCCTCCTCTGCCTGAGATTCCAAAAGGTGTCTGGCGGTGCCCAAAGTGTGTCATGGCGGTAAGACCTCCCTCAGTTCAACTGAGGATTTTTTCTTCTTTCATCTGGCTTGATTGAGGGCAGTCTCTTACCTTAGCTACAGTCTTAACGTTTTGGGTTCCCCAGCTATAGCTAGGCTGGGCAGAGTTGTGGGAAAACGAGGAAAAGGACATTCAACCTTTGCTTCTGTTCTCTGGAAGCTCCAGACTGTCTACGTGGGATGCTAACTAAGTGTTATGATTGGACAATCTTTTTGTTGATGTCACCAAATGATTAGCAGATACTAAATTATTAGAAATTCTAAGGTGAGCTGGGCGCTGGTGGCTCACGCCTGTAATCCTAGCTACTCAGGAGGCTGAGATCTGAGAATCTCGGTTCAAAGCCAGGGCAGGAAAGTCCGTGAGACTCTTATCTCCAATAAACCACTAGAAAACTGGAAGTGACGCTGTGGTTCAAGCGGTAGAGCACTCGCCTTGAGCTGAAGAGCGCAAGGACAGTGCCCAAGCCCAGAGTTCAAGCTCCACAATGGACAAAAAAAAAATTAGCCGGGCGCTGGTGGCTCATGCCTGTAATCCTAAGCTACTCAGGAGGCTGAGATCTGAGGATCGCAGTTCAAAGCCAGCCCGGGCAGGAGAGACCGTGAGACTCCTATCTCCAATAAACCACCAGAAAACCGGAAGTGGTGCTGTAGCTCAAGTGGTAGAGTGCTCGCCTTGAGCTGAAGAGCTGAGGGACAGCGCTCAGGCCCAGAGTTCAAGCCCCACGACCGACAAAAAAAAAAAAAAATTCTAAGGTGAAACAGATGAGCAGAGAGGAAAGGAAAATGGACTGAGTGTTGAAGGACAAGAATTAAACTTTTTTTGATGGAAGTAGAAGCATGGCTGAAGGAGTAGAGGGCCAGCCCTGAGTGAAATTGAGAACTTGAGTCCATAAGTTCAAGCCCTACTTTTGGCACAAAAATAAAGTTTGAAAAAGAAGAAAAACATCTTAAGTGCTAAGTAGTTCAAAGAGATTTTTTTTGGAGACAGGGTCTTACTATGCAGCTTTGGCTGGCCTTGAAGCTTCTGCCTCAGCCTCTTTCTTTTGCCTGTCTTGGGGCTTGAACTCAGGGCCTGGGCTCTGTCCCTGAGCTGTTTTTGTTCAAGGCTAGCGCTCTACCACTTGAACCACAGTGCTACTTCCAGCTTTTTCTATTTATGTGATACTGAGGAATTGAACCCAGGGCTTCATGCATGCTAAGCAAGCATTCTACCACTAAAGCACTTTCCCAATCCATGCCTCAGCATTTTGAGTGTGGTTATTACAGGTGTGCACATCCTGCCCAACTCGAAATAAAAATTTGAAAAAATTCTCTTGACTTTCAAGGTTTGTTTTCTGAGTGTGCATGTATTTTACTGTGGGTTACTTGAACCATGTCTCCAGCCTTAGGTTACTTTTTTGAGTGATGAAGTCTTTAGAAGAGGTGGGCAGGTATTCTAGAGTGGGGAACAGAGGATTGGCAAAGCAGAGAATTTTTTGAGAGAATGTGCCTAGGATGTGTAGGGAGAATGAGAACAGCCAAAGCAGCAGTGAAGACCAGACACTTGGGAAGTCTGGCAGGTCCATTTCATGTGAACTTGCTGCCTTCATCTACATTCTACATGCTCATCTTTATTTCCTTCTAGGTTTATAGAGATAAGATTTAGATGATCTCACTTTATAGTGACTCACCATGCTTGAGAGAACTGTGTGCACGTGAGCATATATGCACATGCACAGATGGGCAAAAACCAGAGCAGTGCATAATGATCTAGATGGTGTTGATGATTCTAGTGGGGGAAAAGTTTAAATACCAATAGGGTCATAAATGAGAGAGTGTATCAGCTCTATCTGGCTTTCTTTGCTAAGTGATATGAGCCAATAGACCAGACTGACTTTTTTTTTTTTTTAAGAAATGAGCAGGGCTGGGAAGGTGGCTCAGTGGTAGAGTGCTTAACTCACTTGCATGAGGCCCTGGGTTCAATTCCTCAGCACCACATAAGCAGAAAAAGCTAGAAGTGGCACTGTGGCTCAAGTGGTAGAGCACTAGCCTTAAGCTGAAGAGCTGAGGGACAGTGACCAGGCCCAGGGTTCAGGCCCCATAACCGACACCAAAAAAAAAAGAAAGAAAAAGTGAGCAGGATGTGTCTTAATTCTGGCATAATATACTTTTTAGTTAAAAACATGAACATTGTAAAGTTTGTTTTTCAACATAATGTCTTGTACATCTCGTTGTTGCAATGGGTCCACCTTCCCCTCTACAAATTATACCTACATCAAATACAGTGAAAACGGGTTATACTGTGGGGGAGGGACATACAAAGTAACAAAGAAATATCTTATAAATATGTTAGAAACAATAGCAAGAAAGAAAAAACATTTGAGTCCTTACTTGGGGTTCATTTCGCCTAACACCAACTTATCTGGCCATTTATGCTTGTCTCAGACATATACTAGTTATTGCAAATAAGGGAAACCATGGGACCTATGTGTCTTTGGGCGTGGCTTACTTCACTTAATATAATTTTTTCCAAGTTTTTCCATTTCCTAACAAATGGGATAATGTCATTCTTTCTGATGGAGGCATAGAATTCCATTTGTGTGTGTGTGTGTATGCATATATATATATATATATATACACACCATATTTTCTTGATCCATTCATCTACTGAGGGGCATCTGGGGGGGGGTAGGGAGGGGATATGGGAAGGGATGGTAAGGGGAAACAAAGGAGGAGGCAACAATGCTTGATAAGAAATGTACTTATTACCTTGCCCATGTAATTGTAACCCCTCTGTATAGTATTTTCACAATAAAAAAAAACAAGGGGCTGGGAAGGTGACTCAGTGGTAGAGCGCTTGCCTTGCATGCATGAGGCCCTGGGTTCGATTCCTCAGCACCACATAAGCAAAAAAAAAAAAAAAAGGAAAAAAGCTGGAAGTGGCGCTGTAGTTCAAGTGGTAGAGCGCTAGCCTTGACCTGAAGAGCTGAGGGACAGAGCCCAGATCCAGAGTTCAGGCCCCACGACCGGACCTGAACAAAACAAAATAAAACAAAAAAATGAAAAAAACCCATGAACATGGCTACAAGTGAGAAAGACCCATGTTATATCTTCTGAGATAGTGAAGAACAGAAATAGTGTAGGGCTTGACACTGTAAAAGTTGGTACTTTCATTTTCTACCCAACAAGGCAATGGAATATTTAATGCCATTTTTCTGGGCTCATTTGTTGGCTAGAATGGGAGGGAAAAACTGGGAGAGAGCAAAGGAAAGTGTGATACTGTCCAAAAAGAAATGTACTCATGGGGCTGGGAAGGTAGCTCAGCGGTAGAGTGCATGCCTTGCAAGCATGAGGCCCTGGATTCGATTCCTCAGCACCACATAAACAGAAAAAGCCGGAAGTGGCACTGTGGCTCCAGTGGTAGAGCGCTGAAGAGCTGAGGGACAGCGCCCAGACCCAGAGTTCAGGCCCCATGACTGGCAAAAAAAAAAAGAAAAAAAAGAAAAAAAGAAATGTACTCATTACATCACCGTTATAATAACAATTAAAAAAAAAAAACCTTAAGAACCAAAAACCCTGTGTGAGCTCATTTTACTAGAAAAAATATTTGTAGAAAAGAATGGAGTATTGATTTACGTAGAAGTCATGATTTACGTAGTAAAGGAGAGTTTTTTTGGTACTAGGATTTGAACTCAGGACCTTGTACTTGCTAGGTGGGCACTGTACCACTTTAAGACTCACGTGAAGCCTAGGTCTCACCTTTTTTTCCTCTTGGGCAGTTCTCGAACAGCAGTCTTCCTACATATGCCACCCACCTTGCTGGGATGACAGGTGTCATGCTTATTTGTTGAGATGCAGTCTCCCTAATGTTTTGTGTATGCTAGCCTTGAACCTCAATCCTCCTGGTCTTCGCCTGCTGAGTAGCTGAGTTTACAGACATGAGCCATTGCTCTTGACTGTAGATAGTAGCATCTTAAAGGAAGAAAGGAGCATAGGCACGACAGTTATAATGGAGCACTTTCTGGAGGTTATATTGGACTGAGGACTGAAATTGTTCTGTTGGTTGATTTTGTTTTTGTTTTTGTTTTTGGTTGTGCTAGAAATAGAAACTAGGGCCTTGTATATGCCAGTCAAGTTTACCACTGAGCTAACATATTCAGCCTTTGGTTATTTGAGGTAGGATCTGGCTATATAGTCCAGGTTTGCACTTGTGTAACTTCTGTCTCCAAGTACTGAGGTTATAGTTGTGTGTCACCATGTCCTAAAGTTACTTTTTTTTCTTAGTACTGGTTCTGGGGCTTAAACTAGGGGCCGCATGCTATTTAGGAGCTTTTTCACTCAAGGTTGGAGTTCCACCACTTGAGCCACAGCAGCTCTACTTAAGCTTTTTGGTGGTTAATTGGAGATAAGAATTTCATGGCCTTTCCTGCCTTGGCTGGCTTTGATTTCAACCTCCTGAGTAGCTAGGGTTACAGGTATAAGCCACTGGTGTTGACTTGGGCTTTGTTTACATTCTTTTTATTTATTTTTTTGTTTTAGAGTTGTTACTGGGGCTTGAACTCAAGGCCTGTACTCTTGCTTAGCTTTTTCAAGGCTGGAGCTCTATTGGTTTAAGCCACACTTCTACTTCTGGCATTTTGCTTATTAATTGGAGAGCTTTTGTTTGTTTTTTTGGTGTAGGGGGCTGGCCTCCAACTAGGATCCTCAGATCTCAGCTTCTTGAGTAACTGGGACTGACATGCGGCATCAGCACCTGGCTTGTGTTCTTTGTTTTTTTTTTTGAGACGGGTCTTTTACTATTTTTTTATTTTTACTCTTTTGTATGTGCTTTTTTTAGTAGTATTTGGATTTATGCTTAGGGCCTTTTGTTTGCTAGGCTGATGTTTTGCCATTTGAATGAGCCATGCTTCCAACCCTGCTTTTTGTTGGTCATTTTGGAAATGGATTCTAGCAAACTTTTCTGCCCAGGACGGCCCTGAACCGTGATCCTTTTGATCTCAGCCTCCTTAGTAGTAGCTAGGAGTATTGATGGGAGCCACTGATGCTCAGCTGAAGTTGAGTTTTGAAGAGTCAGTGAAAGAAAGAGAGAGAGGGCTTGCTAAGTATGCATAATAAGGTCCTGGTCTGGGAAGGTGGTTCATGGGCTGGGAAGGTGGCTCAGTGGTAGAGTGCTTGCCTTGCATGCATGAGGCCCTGGGTTCGATTCCTCAGCACCACATAAGCAAAAAGAAAAAAGCTGGAAGTGGTGCTGTGGCTCAAGTGGTAGAGTGCTAGCCTTGAGCTGAAGAGCTGAGGGACAGTGCCCAGGCCAAGAGTTCAGGCCTCACAACCGGACCCCCCCCCCAAAAAAAAAAATAAGGTCCTAGGTTTAATCTTTGCCATTAAACAAAGAGGGGGTGGTGGAGTGCATTCCAGTAGAGGAATGAACTCTGAGGGAGGAACTCAGAGCATGTTAGTCATTTTCCTGTTGCTATGATAGAACACCTTAGAGATAATTTAAAGGAGGAAAGATTTTTTTTTGTCAGTCGTGGAGCTTGAACTCTGGGCCTGGGTGCTCTCCCTGAGTTCTTTAGCTCAAGGTGAGAGCTCTATCACTATAGCACCTCTTCTGGTTTTCTGGTGGTTAATTGGAGATAAGAGTCTCAAGGAATTTTCTGCCCAGGCTGGCTTTGAACTGTGATCCTCAGATCTCAGCCTCCTTAGTTGCTAAGATTACAGGCGTGAGCCAGTGGTGACTGGCAGGAGGAAAGATTTTGACTCATGGTTTCAGTAATTTCAAGTCCACAATGTCTGGGTGTGTGTGGAGGGGTGCTACAGAGCTGCACACATCATGTCATCTAAGAAGCAGAAGGAGAGAGACAGAATGCCTACGGACAATATAAAGCCCCCAAGGACAACTCCCCCCCTCCCCCCATTGACCTACTTCCTCTGGCTTGGTCCTGTCTCCTAAAGTTTTCAGAATTTCCCAAAATAGTGCCACCACAGCTGTGGACCGAGCTTTTAGCATATGAGCTTTCTGAGGGATACTTGATACTTAAGTATAAAAATACACTTGAAAGCATAGTTGAAACACATGTGGGGATGAAAAGATGAAATAAGCTGAGGCATTAAGAGAAAAAGGTGACATTATAAAGTCAGGCTTGACTCAAGGACATTGAATGCAGATTTAGGCCTGCTGTTCCTATCCCATATTCCATTTCCACTTATGAGGATTCTCCGTGTCTCTGTGTGTGTGTGTGTGTGTGTGTGTGTGTGTGTGTGTGTGTGTGTGTGTGTGTGTGTGTGTGTGTGTGTGTGTGTGTGTATATACAGGTGCGTGTGCACATGTGTTTGTTGTGAAGCTTGAACCCAGGGCCTGGGTGCTGTCCCTGAGCTTTTTCACTCAAGGCTAGTGTTCTACCACTTAAACCCACAGTGCCACTTCTCGTTTTGGGGGGTTAATTGGAGATCAGAGTCTCACTGGCTTCGAACCGCAATCCTTAGATCTCAGACTCCTGAGTAGCTAGGATTACAGGTGTGAGCCACTGGTGCCTGGCTGCATGTGTTTTTATAACATGTTCTTCTTTGTGTTTCAGGAGTGTAAGCGGCCCCCTGAAGCCTTTGGCTTTGAGCAGGCTACCCGGGAATACACTCTGCAGAGCTTTGGTGAGATGGCTGACTCCTTTAAAGCTGACTACTTCAACATGCCTGTGCATGTAAGTGATAGAGGGCTTGGGTAGTACTGGGGCTCAGTCCATAGGTGTTGGCACCTAATGCTCACCTCCCTTGGCTCTGGGGGACAGGATAAGCTGGGCCATGGTCATCGACTACCCCTCTTCCCCCAGATGGTGCCCACAGAACTTGTAGAGAAGGAGTTCTGGCGACTGGTCAATAGCATTGAGGAAGATGTGACTGTTGAGTATGGGGCTGACATCCATTCCAAAGAATTTGGCAGCGGTTTCCCTGTCAGTGATAGTAAGCGGCACCTTACCCCTGAGGAGGAGGTGAGTGGGTGATTATCATAGTTATATGTCAGCTGTATGAGCTTGGGCACATTATTTAATATCTGACTAAGTATCTCTATGGTGGGGATAAGTATGCCTACCTTAAGCAGTTTCTGTACAATTTATACAAAATGCTACAGGTAAAGAGTATAGCCTAAAGCCAGGTGCTGGTGGGTCATGCCTGTAATCCTAGCTACTCAGAAGGCTGAGATTTGGGAATCACAGATGGAAGCCAGCCTGGGCAGAAAAATCTGGGAAACTCTGCCTTCAGTTAACGCCCCTCCCCCTCCAAAAAAAAATCTGGAATGCTACTCTTGAGCATAAAAGTGTAGGGACTGCACCTATGCCCTGAGTTCTAGCCACAGAACCAGCACCAAAAAAAAAAAAAGAATGTAGACTAGTTCCTGGTATGGTGGTATGTATCTCTAATCTCCACACTTAGGAGGTAGAGAAAAAGGAGCATTATAAGTTAAAAGCTAGACTCGGCTATACAGTGAGACTGTCTCAAAAGAATAACTACCACAAAAAATAAAAATAAAACAAAAATACAACCAAAAAGAGCGTAGCTTAGTACCTAGCACGTGCATATATGAGATGGGTTCTTACATCTTCCTGAGCTCATTTCTATATCTATTAAATGTGCAATCGCCACCTGGCAAATTTGTAATAAGAATTAAATGAGGGAGTGTGAAATAACCTGTCAGAGTGGTCCTCTCACAAGAAATATGAGTGAGATTTGCATGGGAAAAAGAGGGGGCCCAGACCTGTCTCTAAGAAAAGTATACTTGATTTGGATTCAGAGCCAGTTTTTAAGTTATTTTTTAACTGATTTAAAAAAACATTAAAATTCATATAAAATTATAGAGTACCTCTTGATGTTTCAATACATGTATATACATTATGTCATGTTTAAGCCAGAGTGAATATATCTCCTTAAAAGACAACCATTTCTTTACGGTGAAAACATTTTAAATCCTTTCTTCTATTTTTTTGAAATACATAGCATAGAATTTTTTTTTTTTTTTTTGGGTCCGGTCATGGGGCCTGAACTCTGGGCCTGGGCGCTGTCCCTCAGCTCTTCAGCTCAAGGCTAGCGCTCTACCACTTGAGCCACAGCGCCACTTCCGGCTTTTTTCTTTTTGCTTATGTGGTGCTGAGGAATCGAACCCAGGACTTCTGGCATGCAAGGCATGCGCTCTACCACTGAGCCACCTTCCCAGCCCAGCATAGAATTATTATCTGTTGTCACACCATTGTACAGTAACACTATTATTGTTTTAACTATAACTTGATCAAGCTTTTTGTTTGGTGGTGATACTGGGAATTGAACTCAGAGTCTCCTGCTTCCTGCTGTTCAACTTTTTTTTTCTATTTTAGTTTATTTTTTATTGTAGAAATACCATAGAGAGGGGTTACAATTACATGGGCAAGGTATTGAGTACATTTCTTATCAAGCATTGTTGCCTCCTTTGTTTCCCCTTCCCATCCCTTCCCATCCCCCCTCCTCCCCACCGCTTGTGTGCGCCAAAGTTGTAAAGTTCGTTTTCAACATAACATCTTGTACATCTCATTGTTGCAATGGGTCAACCTGTATCTCTATTTAAACAATTTGTTTTTTCCCTTCCCCTCCACAACGTATACCAACATCAAATACAGTGAAAACAGGGGTTATACCACGGGGGAAGGACATACAAAGCAACAAAGAAATATCTTTAAATATGTTAGAAACAATAGCCAGAAAAAAAACCCATTTGATTCCTTATCTTGGGGTTCATTTCGCCTAACATCAACTTATCTGACCATTTCTGCTTGTCTCAGACATATACTAGTTATTGCAAATAAGGGAAACCATGGGACCTATGTTTCTTTGGGCCTGGCTTACTTCACTTAGTACAGTTTTTTCCAAGTCTTTCCATTTCCTAACAAATGGGGTAATGTCATTCTTTCTGATGGAGGCATAGAATTCCATTGTGTATATATTACCACATTTTCTTGATCCATTCATCTACTGAGGGGCATCTAGGTTGGTTCCATATCTTAGCTATGGTAAATAATGCTGCAGTAAACATAGTTGTGCTGGTAGCTTTAGTATGGTCTTGTTTGTGATCATTCGGTAAATGCCCAAAAGTGGGAGGATTGCTGGGTCATAGGGAGCTCTCCAATAGACATATGCAGAAATGCTCAACCTCCCTAGTCATAAAAGAAATGCAAATCAAAACAACACTGAGTTAGAATGGCTATAATCAAGAACTCTAATAACAACAGATGCTGGAGGGGATGTGGCCAGAAGGGAAGCCTACTGCATTGTTGGTGGGAGTGTAAACTTGTTCAACCACTTTGGAAAGTAGTATGGAGGTTCCTCAAAAGACCTCCACATAGAGCTCCTGCTGTTCAACTTTTACTCTTCCCTCTACTCTCTTCCCTTCTTCCTTACTTCTCTGGTCTCTGAAAATTGCCATTCTTCTCTCAACATGTATACAATCAACCTTTTAAATTCTACATATTGGTGAGGTCATATGGTACTTTCTGTGGCTGGGTTATTTCACTTAACATAGTGATCTCCAGTTTCATCTGTGTTGCTGCAAATGACAGGATTGTGTGTGTGTGTGTGTGCGCGCGCGCGCGCGCGTGTGTGTGTGTGTGTGTGTGTGTGTGTGTGTGTGCGCGCGCGCGCACTCAGATTTGTGTGTTGCTACTAGGGCTTAAACTTAGGGTCTTGTTTTCTCAATTAGTTTTTTTTGCTCAAGGTTAGCACTTTACTATTTGAGCCACACCTCCACTTCTGGCTTTTTGCTGGTTAATTGGAGATGAGAGTCCCTTGGATTTGTCTGCCTGGGCTAGCTTCAAACTGCAGTCCTCAGATCTGAGCCTCCTGGATAGGTAGGATTATAGACATGAGCCAGTGGCACCCAGCAATATTATTGAGGTCAAATGATACTCCCTTATGGTTTTGGTTTCCTTGATGATTAGTGATATTAAACATTTTTTTTTCATGTACTTGTTGTGACTTCTATGTTATCTTTTGAACAATAGCTATATAGGTCTATGGACAGTTTTGAAATCAGGTTTTCCTCTTGAATTTTTCAAATTTTTTTTTGTCAGTTGTGGGGTAGATCTCAGGGCCTAGGCACTGTCCCTGAGCTCCTTTTTTTTGGGGAGGGGGGTGTCAGTAGTGGCCTGGGTGCTGTCCCTCAGCTCTTCAGCTTAAGGCTAGCTCTCTACCACTTGAACCACAGCACCACTTCTGGCTTTTCTGCTTATGTTGTTGTGAGGAATTGAACCCATAGCCTCGTGTATGCATGGCAAGCACTCTACCACTGAGCCACCTTCCCAGCCCCACTGAGCTCTTTTTGCTCAAAGCTAGCATCTACCACTTTGAGCCACAGCACCACTTCTGGTTTTCTGGTGGTTAATTTGGAGATACGAGTCTCATGGATTTTCCTGCCACAGCTTGCTTCAAACTGTGATCCTCAGATCTCAGCCTCCTGAGTAGATGTTACTTATTTATTATGGGCATTCATCTCTTATCAGACATACATTTGGCAAAGATTTTTCTCCCATTCTGTATGTTGTCTCTTCAATTCGTTGTTGTTGTACAGAAGACTTTTAGTTTGGTATAATTTCATTTGTCTATTTTTTGTGTTTGTTTCCTAGGCTTTTGCATAGGAAAAAAAATCGCTGCCAGGTGCTGGTGGCTCATGCCTGTAATTCTACCTACTCAGGAAGCTATCTGAGAATAGTGGTGTAAAGCCAGCCTAAGGAGGAAAGTCTATGAGATTTTTTTTTTAATTTAATTTAATTTTATTTGTGAACATACTGTACAGAGGGGTTACAATTACATGGGCAGGATAATGCATACATTTCTTACCAAGCATTGCAGCCTCCTCCTTTGGTTTACCCTTCACATCCCTTCCCAGCCTCCCCCCCTCCCCCCCAATCCCAATCCTTCTCCTTCCCCCCCATTACCCCCCCCCCCCCCCCGCACCGACGTTGTAAAGCTCGTTTTGGACATGACAACTTGTACTTCTCATTGTTGCAACAAGTCTATGAGATTCTTCAATTAACGACCAAAAATCTGGAAGTGGAGATGTGGCTCAAGTGGTAGAGAATTAGCCTTAAGCTAAAAAACTTAGGGACAGTGCCCAGGCCCTGAGTTAAAGCCACAGGATCAGCACCAAAAAAAATTCTTGTTCATTTCAATGTCCTGAAATATTTTCTTTTTCTTTTAATAGTTTTGTAATTTTAGTTTTGACATTTAAGTCTAATGCATTTAGAACTGATTTTTGTTATTGGTGAGTGGTAGGGGTTCTAGTTTATTTATTTTTTTTTATATTCTGTGTATGCATAGCCAGTTTCTGTAGCACTGATGTGATGTTTATGCTTGCTTGCTTATTTATTTGTTTATTTAGACAGGGTATTGGTGTATAGCCTAGGCTAGCTTTGAACTTGAAATTCTTCTGCCTCAGGTTACAGTCATACCCTACCCAACATGCCCAGCTCCCAGTTCAGATTCTAAACATTTGTATTGAAAATTCATTGGCACAGCAGGAGGTTTTTCTTGCAGTTATTTTGGAAGATGGATATATATCTGTAAACCTCTCTGATATGAGAGTGAATTTAATAGAAATTTTCTGTGTACATGATGAGGAAGGGGGATTCTGTATGGTTTAGGTGTAACCCTCAAATTAAGCTTTCTTAGGCAAATAGCTTAAGATATCAGTTCTTTGCCATAACACTCATCTCTTCTGTACAAATACCTAACCTGACAGGAGTATGCAACAAGTGGTTGGAACCTGAATGTGATGCCTGTGTTGGAACAGTCTGTACTGTGCCACATCAATGCAGATATATCAGGCATGAAAGTACCCTGGCTGTATGTGGGTATGGTCTTCTCAGCCTTTTGCTGGCATATTGAGGATCACTGGAGTTACTCCATTAACTACCTCCATTGGTGAGTGAGCTCTTGGGTTGCTCAAAAGGCAGGTGGGCTTTTTGCACAACCATGGGTGTGATCACTGCATGTGTCTTCTTTCTACTTGAGCAGGGGTGAGCCGAAGACCTGGTATGGGGTACCTTCCTTGGCAGCAGAACATTTGGAAGAAGTAATGAAAAAGCTGACACCTGAACTTTTTGATAGCCAGCCTGACCTCCTACACCAACTTGTCACCCTGATGAATCCTAATACCCTTATGTCACATGGTGTACCGGTGAGTGCCCAAGAACCAGAAATAAGGAGTAGGAATGATTTGGTGATGTCATTTGTGGTGGTAGTGGTAGTCTTCACATGGAATTTACCTCTGCCCTTTTTTTTCTGCTATATCTCAATTGAGCTGTAGGTATGACTACTCTAATAGACCCATGATTATAGTGGTAAGACACAGTGTGATAGCCCACTGGGCCATGTGTTTGAAGGCAGTACCTTATTAAGAATTCATATCATTTCTTTCCATCTTCCTGTTAGTGAGAAACTGATCATATGAAAATTGGAAAATGTGATCCTTATTCTAGATGGTCAAATACTACCTACATTGGAAATCATGTTCTTATCAAATAGCATGGGCAACACTAAGGACTATATTTTACATACTACTAGCCTTCCTGGAACAGAGTATATCTTTTTTACTTACTTAACGTGTCAAGAGTTAAACTCATGGGGCTGGGAAGGTGGCTAAATGGTAGAGCGCTTGCCTTGCATGCATGAGGCCATGGGTTCGATTCTTCAGCACCACATAAGCAAAAAGAAAAAAGCCAGAAGTGGCGCTGTGGCTTAAGTGGTAGAGTGCTAGCCTTGAGCTGAAGAGCTGAGGGACAGTGCCCAGGCCCAGAGTTCAGGCCCCACGACCGGAACCTCCCCCCCCCCCCCCCAAAAAAAAAAAGAGTTGAACTTAGTTGGGCAAGGTAGGTACATGCTTTTGGGAAGCAGAGACAGAAAGGTTACAAGGTCAGGGACCAGGGCTCCATAGTGAGATCCTGTCTCAAACGAGTGCCAGTGGTTCATACCAGTAATCCTAGCTACTGAAGACTAGGGCTGAGATCCGAGGATCATGATTCAAAGCCAGTCTAGGCAGGAAAGGCCGTGAGATTCCTATCTTTAGTTAACTAGCAAAAAGCTAAAAATGAAGCTGTGGCTCAAGTATGATTATCACTTGAGTGAAAAAGCGAAGGGACAGTGCCCAGGCCCTGTTCAAGCCATATAAAAACAAAACAAAAACACAGAGTTAAAAATATAAAACCCAAAATGTTGAAGGGTTGGAGGCATGACACAAGTGGTAGAGCACCAGCCTGTGAACGAAAGCATCAAATCCTGAGTTCAGATCTTCCCAGGGGGAAAAAATACCCCCAAATGCAAAAAATATTGAGCCCAGGGTTCTAACCTATCTGTCTTCTTCCTCTTCTCAGTAATTCTTTCTAATTGTACAAAATGTTACTCTGGGTATACAACTTGACTTAACCTGTGGGGCTTTTATATTCCTGGGGATTTTTAGCATTTATTAATGTCAGGCAGTTTTCTAATGTGGATCTTAAAACTACTTACTCTTTTTATTTGTTCTTTTCTTTTTTGTCTTGTCTATCTTCCTTTGTTTGAGATAGGGTCTCACTATATAGCCCAAGCTGGCCTTGTACTCCCAATCCTCATGACTCAGCTTCATGACTGATTGGGATTATAAGCATGTGTCACCATGCTCAGCCATACTGGCAGTTATTCTAATGCATGGAGCATGGTAGGTAGTCAATACATATCAGACAGCCAGATTCTGGTGGCTCACATTTGTAAGCCTACTAAGGAGGCTGAGATCTGAGGATCACAGTTCAAAGCCAGCCCAGGCAGGAAAGTCCGTGAGACTCTTATCTCCAATTAACCACCAGAAAACCAGAAGTGGCGCTGTGGCTCAAGTGGTAGAGTGCTAGTCTTGAGCTGAGGAACTCAGGGACAGTAGTGCCCAAGTCCAGAGTTCAAGCCCTACAACCAACAAAGAATTAAAAATAAATAAATAATTAAATATCAGATAGTTTTCTGGTCTAAGTCAGTATTTCTCATCTAAATTTCTTCTTTGTTTTGATATACTGGTATCCCTTGTATATACTTTTATTGCATATTTTAATGATATTTAATGAAGGATTAGGATGTCTTAACAATTTGGACAAGGGAAGAGACATCATCCAATAGCTCAAATAACTTTCCTCCACTCAGAGAGTGTTCTCTTTTTCTCTCTTCATTTCACTCAAGGAGATCTGGGACATATAATTTATTTTTTTGTTGTTGTTGGGTTTTTTGTTTGTTTGTTTGTTTTTGGGTCCAGTCGTGGGGCCTGAACTCTGGGCCTGGGAGGTGTCCCTCAGCTCTTCAGCTCAAGGCTAGCGCTCTACCACTTGAGCCACAGCACCACTTCCAGCTTTTTTCTTTTTGCTTATGTGGTGCTGAGGAATCGAACCCAGGGCCTCAGGCATGCAAGGCAAGCACTTTACCACTGAGCCATCTTCCCAGCCCTGGGACATACAATTTAGTGGTAAAGTGTATACTTAGAATGCATGAGGCTCTGGGCTGGATTACAAGTACCACACTAAACACACACACACACACACACACACACACACACACACACACACACTCTCTCTCTCTCTCTCTCTCTCTCTCTCTCTCTCTCTCTCTCTCTCACAAATAGCAGGCAACTTCAAGTTCTGCTGATTCACAAGTAGACATTTGGCTTAACTATTCCTTAGACTTTCTGTTCCTCACCTGTAGCACAATATTAATCCCTGCCTCTAATGCTCAGAAAACTACCAGTGGAATAGGATTCTCTTTTAAGTATTTTGAGTAGCTAAGATGAAGAGAGAAGGTCATGGACCTATTCAATCTTTCCCTCTTTAAAAACTATCACTATCACTGGAACTTAAACATGTATTCATTGTTTTCACCACTTTCTCTGGCTAGGTTCTGCTTCACCATCCTGCCCCCTTGTCTGCCCCGCCTTTCCTGTTGGTAGTTGCCAGAATTTCTAGGCTCTTTGGACTTGGCAGTGGTCCTCTTCACCACCACCACCACCACCACCACCACCACCACCACCACCACCACCACCACCTCCACCTCCATTCTGAGGCATCTATGATTTTCATATTCTCATACTGTGATGCTGCAGTTTAGCCAGCTGGACCTCCCCCAACTGCTATCTTTAGTTCCTTGAATTCCCCTCTGGTGGGAGAAGGCCATTTCTTTTTATAGATATATAGTGTAATACTTTTTTCATTAGAAAAGACACATGCCTCCCTTCTAAAAAGGTAGAAAACAGATCAGCCTTATTCCTTCTAGCATAAACATTTTGTTATTTCTAAGTTGTTTTTCTGTGTAGTAGTTTTTAGGTAGCAATGATGAATTTTATAATCTCTTCTAACTTGGATGATCTAGAAATGCACTGTCCAGTTTGGTAGCCACTAGCTACCTGTGGCTATCGAGCTTTTCAAATAGCTAATCCCAGCTGAAGTGTGTTGAAAGTGGAAAATACATGTTGGATTTTTTTTTCATTTTTTTTTTCTTTTTTTATTGTAAAGATACTATACAGAGGGTTACAGTTACATGAGTGAGGTAATGAGTACACTTCCTCTTGAACATTGTTACCCCCTCCATTGTTTTCCCCCTACCATCCCCTCCCTCCCTCCCTTCCCCGAGGTTCTTTTTTTTTTTTTTTTGATTGTGATTAAGTGATTACATAATTTCCAGAAATTCACAGTCTTGTGGAATAATGATGCTCATTTAAAGTCACAAGTTCATTCTAACTTTCCTGGAGCAAATTGTCTATCACAGTCTGTAATTTATAACGGTGTTCACATGTTATATACCATATATGTGATCAGCAGCATGGGGATATTTAGTAGTGGTTCAACCAGATGAGTGGGAGTTCTTTGTTTCTTAAGTCCTGTTAGTTTTGTCATATCACCTATATGTTGGATTTTAAGACTTAGTATGAAACAAAGAATGTAAAGTATCTCACAAATACTTTTGTATGCCATTTATACAAAATTATAATGGCTTTGTTAAAATATTGAAAGTAATTTTACCTGTTTTGTTTTACTTTTTTTTTTTTCAGGTAAGGGGTAGGTTAATTCAGTAGACCTGCTGGGAAAGAGCTGGGAAATAGAAGAGAAAAGAGCTAGAAAAGAGAGCATCTGGGAAAGGTGGGAAAGAGAGAGCTAGGAAAGAGAAGAGAAGGAAAGAGCTGAGAAAGAGCTAGAAAAGAGCAGAAAGCAGAGAGAGGGCGTCTGGGCCTGGGCTAGGCCTTATCTAGGGTATGGGCAGAGAAAGGTATGGCCACATCAAATTCAGATGTGACCTCAGCGGATGCAGATGTGACCTCTTCCAGGTGTTCCAGTTGCCTAGGTAATGCAGGTACTGAGTGGAGACTTTGCTGCGAGGAGGGTGGAGTCTGCTAGCCATCCAGGAGCGGACCTTACATTCCAGCCTTTTAATAATCATGAAATAGGGCAGGGATTCTCTCTGGCTACTAGGGCACGGATTCTCTCTGGCTACTTCCTGCTGACACACGGCGTCGACAATAGGGGTAAAAGGCTGGAATTTGGTCCCCTCCCAGAGAAGGCAGCGAGCAGCAGCTGTCCCTTGTGGATTGAGTCCTTAGGTGAAGTCTGAAGAAATCTCATGAGCATTGAGGGGCTGGAAAAAAAAATACTAGCGAGCAAATAAATGGCAAGAGGAAGGACTTGGGGCTGAAAATGTTGGTAGAAATGTCCCAAGCTACTTCTGACATCTGGCGAGTAGGTAGAGAAGTCAAGTGACAAAGGCAAGTAGATAAATTCCTGTTCAGTTAATAGGCAGACAGGTATAGACATTGGATGGGCAAGCTTCTTACTTCTACTGACCTCCTGGCTCTGGTTAATTTTGAAAGGGCAGGCACAAAGTAGCTGATGTGACATCATCTCCTCTTACTCCTCTCCATGGTCCCTTGTTCCCCAGACTGGCTGAGTCTAGGTGCTCATTGCTGGGATGGCTTGTCCCAGTTGGTATTCAAGGAGGTTTGAACTCAAGGCCTGGGCACTGTCCCTGAGCACTTCTGCTCAAGGCTAGTGCCCTACCACTTTGAGTTACAGTACCACTTTCAGTGTTTGGCTGGTTAGAGATAAGAGTCTTGAGCCATGCTTCCAGCCTGGCTCTTTGCAGGTTAGTTGGGAGATGGAGTCTTAGGGATTTTTCGGCCTG